CCACCACCGCTGCCGGAGAGAGCCTCCCGCTCCGCCCGGGTCCCGCACCCCTCTATCATCATCATCATCATCATCCCCAGCAACCTCTCCCTCTCTCTCTTTTTTTTTTTTTTTTCCTCCTTCAGCTTAGTAAAAAGTGAGTTTGGTGTGTGTCGTTCGCGTGGCTGTCATTAAGGCCGTTTGTTATTGTGTGAGGGCTGAATCAGTTAGCTCTTTGTGCTCTCAGCTGTATGGTAATGTAGACAGCACCTGCTCCCCGCACAATGCGAGGGAGAGAAAGAGCTCCCCTCGGCGCACGCTACTGCCTCTACAACAATGTCCGCACATTTTTTAAAGAAATCCCTTCCAGCACTTCCCCCCTCCGCAAAAAAAAAAAAAAAAAAAAAAAAAAAGAAAAAAAAAAAAAGAAAAAAAAGAAATTAAAAAAAAAACCCAAAACCAACCCAACTTCACAACAACAACAACCACCAATCCAACTTTACACCAGCCATCACATTATTTTTTTACATATGCATCCGACACAAGAACTTTTGTTTTGATCTTAAAAACACGGAAAGGAGTTCACCGGTGCGGTGAAAGAGGGACAGAGATGATTACCATTTCTGAATGATGGATGGGAGCGGGGGATAAAAGTTGGAGGGCGACTCTGGCACATGTCACTCGAAGCGGGGTTTTCCACTTTGTTCGGGCCCTCTGTTTAAACACCTTCGGTAGGCGCGGGCAGATTCATTAGGATGCAAGGTGTAACTGTCTCTGTAAATGTCATTTTAATTGTAACAGATCATTTCAGCACAGATTAAGCGTCTGTGCGAAAGGACAGGATTTGGCTACAATAACCTCACTGTAGGTATGCCGTGCTAAAAGCCTTATTATGGCGACTTTATTGGGTTGAAACGTGCATTTGCATGGCAAAATGTGACTTTCATTGAAGCAGATGTCTTGATCACAAATTATCTTACAATGCGCTAGGAAAAAAAAAATCTTAAAGACTTCTTAAAGTAAAAGCATTGGGTAATACCAATTAAAAGAAAATCACTAATGAGTTCATTCAGCCCAGCTCTTCTTGACTGTTCCAGGACTGTAGCTGCCCACGTTCATTTACTGGGGGTTCGTGGCACCTACCCCAAACCCAGGCAGGTATCCTCGATACTTCCACGACCATCCAGACTTTTGCAATCTTTCGCCGCTCAAAGCGTGCGCCCTTTACATCTAATTTTGGCCGAACGAGCCGCCTACATCCAGGTACCCTTCTTCTCCCCTCTCCCCGCCCCTCGACGCTTAAGCGAAAGCTTAAATGTAGAGGAATGTTTGGGTGTTTGGTGGGTGGGGGTTTTTTTGGTTTTGGGTTATTTTGGTTTTTTTTTTCACCCCGGAGTTATACCGGGGCAGGGGGGGGAGCCGCGATCCCGCAGGCACCGTGCGAGGGTGCAGGGAAAGGCAGGCGGCCCGGGGGGG